TGGTTTTTCTTGTTCTGGCAACATTTGGACGCGTTATAGTGAAAAGGCATTTATGGCGTCACATTGGTTTTTGTCCGAGTCGAAGAAGGCTTGGTTTTTGAAAATGTAATTTTTTTGTTGTAACGATATTTCATATTTTATTGTTTGGCCAGTCTCGTTAAAGCCTCAAGTTACCATAGGTGGCCAAATTAATAGGGACAGTGCTCGTATTTATGTAATTTATAGTTTATTATATTTTTTTGAATAAATGATGTTGTTTTTAAGCGGTTATTGTATCTGATATATTTACTGGTATCATTATTATTGTTTTTGTCAAATGGCAACACAGAATACGTGCGTTTTTTATCAATTGTGTGACGTTTCTTCTTTGCCCGTAAAAAGCGCGGTTTTCGGTATTATTGTTGTATTGTCTAGGTTTTATTTTTTCATTAGTTTTAACCGACTTTTGTGTCTTAATTAATCAAAAGGTAAGTAATGCTCCGTATAAGAATAGTTTTGCTACGTTTTGTCTATGAGTTTACATTTTATTAATGGTTCAACACGTTAACCCAAAATTATAAGCTTCTTAGGATGGGTAGGACTTTGGACACGTCTCCAAGAAAATGTAGAGAGATACAAACGTTGTTACTGCACTCCACACATTCTCAGAGAGACATAGCAGCTATTGCTGGGGTTTCAAAGTCTGTCGTCAATCGAATAAAAATAAAAACTGACAATAAAAAGCCTCTTGAAGCAAATCGTGCTGGCAAATGTGGCAGGAAAAGGATTACAACAGCTCGTACCGATTGAAAAATCAGGAACATCTGCCTCGAAAACCGTAAAAAGGGCGTTGCTCGTTTAACAACTATGATAAACGAAGAGGGCATAAAGATTTCAGAGAGGACAATGCGGAGGCGGTTGGTCGAAAAGAATCTCATGGAAGTGCGGCCTGCCAAAAAACCACGCCTAACCGATAGTATGAAAAAGAAACGACTCCAATGGGCTAGACAACATCGATCTATGACTATTGCAGACTGGAGTCGAGTAAGTGCAACTATTTTGTATAATGCAATTGGTCAATAACAATTTATTTATTTATTCTACTATTCATTCTATCAATTACAGGTGTGTTTTCCGACGAACCTACCTTCCAAATTTTGGTTGACAATAGTTATTTTATAAGACGACGTCCTGGTGAGAAATTTCACGCTGATTGCCTTGTAGAGAAGGTTAAACACCCGGTTAGTGTCATGGTGTGGTCTGTCATCTTAGCCAAAGGCATGGGACGCCTATACATTGTGGAAGGGACTATGAAACAAGACCAATACAAGAGAGTACTAGAAACGCGATTATTGCCGCAGTTCAATGAATTGTTCCCTGATGATGACGAATGCATTTTTATGCATGACTCAGCACCGTGCCACAAAGCCAGAAGTGTGACTGCATTTTTGGCTGAAAAAAATGTCTCTGTTTTGCCTTTGCCAGGGAATTCACCAGACATGAATCCAATAGAAAACATGTGGGAACTCACCAAACGAAAGAGTTCATCAAAAAGAGTCCCTCCCGTTCGAGGAAGTTGACCAGCATTTGCCCCCTATGATTGCTGCTTCCAAATCCATGGGATCCTACTACCGATTCGCCGCAATTCTGTACTCCCACTTTAGCGTTGAAGTCACCCATAACAACGCTGTAGTGGGTCTTAGTTGTGAAGTGGAGGGCCCTCGATATGTCATCGTATATATCCTCCACCTCGTCGTCCGAGTGTGCCGAGGTCGGTGCGTACACTTGCACAACCTTGAGGCTATACCTCTCGGTGAGCTTGATAATGAGATACGCTACCCTGTTCGACACACTGGAAATTTCAACAACGTTGTCAGATAGGGACTTATTTACCAGAAACCCAACGCCACCTTGAGATTGTTGGTCTCCGTTTGATTGGTGTCCTCCCCCTCTCTTCGGACTTCACATAGCCCTAGGATATGCCACCTAATCTTCCCAAGTTCCACTTCAAGTTGCGCCAGATGCGAGTCTAGCCGTAGCGTGCGTCCGTTGTACGTAGCCAGGGTCAGTCGGTTGTGGTGGCCTCCCGTAGCCTGGAGATTCTTCGCACCCCCTGCCCCGCCTTTACCGTGGTCGCCACCATGACCAGGAATAGCGGGGCCGCCGGGAACTGGGGGCCGTGGCCTTTGTTGCGTCTGTATGGGGAGGGTTTGCCCAGAATCGCCACGCTGGGCAGGCGGGTTGGCGATCGCAGGGCGTAGCTTGTCGCACAATATAATTTTAGATTATATTTATTTGAAGCACCCTACTATTACATGTTTTCGTAAAATGCAACCATTCCATCAGTATTTTCTTATGACGTTGTCACGTTCAACTATCGTCAGTAAACCGACTTTACAGACAACCGATTTTTTATAGAACCGGAGGCGCGTAGAGAGAGCAGCCTCCGCCCGCTGTAACAAGCAGCAGCAAGCCGAAGCTGCGGAGGCGAGGACGGATGCCTACGATTTGTTACGCAAGGGCGTAGAGGCTGCATTTCCCGCAGCGCTGAGACGTTTCAGAAAGGATTTTTAAGTGTCGTTCCATTAGTCTGCTAAAGACGGTAAACACTACACATTTTATTTTTAATTTTAATAGCTTGTAATGAAAATAATGCAGTAATTTCATATATAAAAACTGTTAAAATATGTGTGTGCATGAAAACTATTTAAATGAGTACAAAATATAATTATTTACGTAAATTTATATAAAATAAAATGTTCCTGAACGTATGACAACTCGTTGCAGGACGGAGTATTACGTTTCGTTCCACAAGTCGGCTAAAGACGGTGAACACTACACATTTTAATAGCTTATAATGAAAATAATATATAAGTTAATGAATGAAGAACCGAAGTAAAAACGTTCGGCTTTGTTACGCAGTATTGCTCAGGATACAAGCGAAATTTTCGCTTATTCTTATATTATTCTTACTCTTATATTATTATAATTCCGATAGATTTTTGCTGCAAAAATCTATCGGAATTAAATAAGTTACTGTTGCCACATACAAGTACCAGTATTCCACCGCAATCTAAATATCAGGAATTAGTGATGCCTAGTAGATCTAAATGCACCAAAGAATCCATCAATACAAAATATGATGATGTAAACATGGCAAGTACATCTACATCCACAAGTAATCCAATGAAAAGAAAATATGAAGATTTAATGATGCCTAGTATATCTACATATTCTGTGTTTCCTTCAAGGGTACATTTCATTCATAATACTTAATCAAATTCATTGAAATGTTTTTGAATAAATAAATTATATTAGTCATAAGCAGTTGTGATATGACAATCATCACAAGTACTTATTATCATGAACAGTCAGATCAAGTTATATTTTACAAAGTCTATAAACCAGTTTAAAGTTTTGACTTATTTTTCAGATAAATGCTGCAACTCAATGTGAAAAAAAGATGATAGACAAGAGCACCAACTATTAAATTAGGAAGCCAAATACTAATATTACTACAGTTGACATGCTATCATCTCAAGAAACTTCTTCAGCAGCTACTCCATCTTTATTTGGTTGTACATCAGAAACTGAAGTCTTCAGTGTGTGATGCAAGTATAAATGTAATAAAAAGCAGAAAGAAAATGTTAGATATGGTGTTAAATGAATCTAAAATGTATTTAGGTTTACCCAAACAATATTTATGGCTCATTGATCATATTGTGGAAAAAAGTGCAACAAAAATAGACTCCCTTTACATTATTGTAACTTTACTCAACTTTACTCAATTGTGGAAAAAAGTGCAACAAAAATAGACTCCCTTTACATTATTGTAACTTTACTCAAAATAAAGCAAAATGACTCTTTAGAACGAATTAGTGATCAATTTTATGTAACTCGAACAAAATTATCATCAATGATATTATTAGGGATTGAAGTATTGGCTAACTTCGGCTCAACTTTCCTTTTCCGTACATCGAGTTTGGGGCTAAAATTTTTTCAGGATATATTACACTATTATAAGCACACACGTAAAAGTTTCAACACGCGGAGACGCGTAGTTTTTGAACAAAAAAATATTGAAAATCAATTATTTTTGCAATTCTTCTGTCAATATTACACTATTAATGACAAGCTTTACCATAGATTATATAAAATTCTCATCACGGAACGTTTCGTTTCATCTATGGTTAAGTTGTCATACGTTCCATAACATTTTATTTTACATAAATTTACGTAAATAATTAAATTTTGTACTCATTTCAATAGTTTTCATGTCAAGTACAAAAGTTGTAACACTGTAAAATATTTCATAGGTTATGCTCCCAATGGCTTTATAAGCTTTATTTTAAAAGGCTATGGAGGAAGAATATCAGACAAAGCCATTGTTGAGAAAAGTAATTTAATATCTCACTTAAATCCAAATGCTGTAATATTAGCTGACAGAGGATTTAAAGAAATAGAATCCTTACTAAGTTCAAGTAAAATTAAACTTCTAAGACCACCAAGTGTATATTCTGTCACCAAGCAAACTACTTCTGAGGCACTTCAAATTTATAGCTAGCATATGAGTCCATATTGAGAGGGTAATTTGACGTGTAAGAGAGTATGCACTGCTGAAACCACACACAGTTGTCAACTATCAATATGTACCCTACTTAGACGAGATTGTTTTGATAGCTTGTGGGTTAATTAATTTACAAGGAGAAATAATAAAAAGTTATTAAAATTTATCAATGTTTTATTATTTTTTTGCACTTTCCAGTAATTTAGGGAATATATATACACTCCAAAAGAGTTCTGCCTTTTTCACCACATTAGTAATGTAAGCTTCATCATAATCTACCCAAACTACATGTATATTCTTTGTAGTTTCAAATAAAGGGTCTACAACACAGAACAATCCCTTAATTTTGTAAAAGGCCATCATTTGGCACATTATCTGCGTTTTAAACTTTTCAGTTATTGCATCATCTTTTATATAAGTTTCAACAGCTTTTTCCGAGGCTGGACACTTTATCTCAACAACAAAATCTTAACCCAACCCCATCAGGTGATGCTCCTAAAATACCATTAATGAGTTTAAATCCTGATCTTTCTATTTTCAGGTTTAGTTTTTCTTCAGTAGCTTGGAGTACCCTGGCCTCCAATTTCGTTCCACGTTTTATAGCTTTTGTCTCAGGCACCTTATAGCCTCCTAATATTTGTTGCACTAAAGCACCATCAGTTCTCCAATGAGCAGCTTCATATAATTTCAAAGCCGTCAGTCTACCTTGCCGTATGTTATGCCAGTATTTATTTTCAGCTTGGTCTAAATTTTTCAAATTTATTTCTTTAATAACATTATCATTAAAGACTTTCTTCAAATATGTTTGAAAATTTGTATAATCATGTATAGCTTCATCACAAATGAATGCTAACATATTATCAAAGATATTCTTTGAATTTGATTTATGACCATCATCAAACTTCAAAATGAGTGAATTACTTAGATTTCTTCTGCGACACTTCTTTAAAGTCACTTAAGACAGTACTATTTTTGGTATCTTAGCCTTAGAAAATATTTCTTTACTAGAAACATGTTCTGTAGTGGCACTGGTGAGAGAAGGTTTGTTCCAGTAACATTCAACTGCAGTTGACGAAGGTTCAGAACTTTTCTTTTCTAGCCAAAATAATAATAAAAGGGATTGCTTACAACCACCTATTAAGAAATGAAAAATATTTGATCAATACAAGTTTTAAATTAATGCTCTAGTTTTATTGTTGGTGTTAAATATACCTGCTGATGCAGAACAATCTTCACAGGCTGCATTCATGATGGTATTTGTGTGTTAATTAATTTTACATGAGACTGCATACAATTTGCTGTTTATTTTGTGTTCAGGTACCACTTTAGCACTGACTATGCTATCATTGCCTGTTCGACTCACTTTAACGTAACCCACAGCAGTATTTACATAAGAATCTCGAGATGACCTGAAACAAGTAAGAATATTTTCTGGAAATAATATCATATTATCTTATACAGAAGGAATTTATTCTATACAATGCTATTTTACAAAATATTCGTATATGACATATCTGTTCTTTGAAGTATTATTGCTTCTATAGTAATTATCAACAAAAGTTTACAAGTACTTCAAAACTTACATTAAGATCTTTGCTCCTCTTATTTCGGCCAAGTTATGTTGGCTACTTGTGGCCATATATTCTAAGATCGTAACATTTTCCACCTTTGGCAAATTCCGAGAGTCTGCTTTTACAAAGTCATAGCGAATGATAAATTGTTTTATTTACGTGAAAGATAAGAGGATGTGTATGCAAACTGTGAATTATTATCTGAAGAGTGAAGAGGTTAGTAAGTTTGACAGTGACAGCTAGGCATGGAGGCGATAATTGTTTGTTTCATTTTGTTATTGATTAAGGCAAAGGTGTACAAAATTTTATGCCAATGCTGTCGTCACCGTGAATTATGAATGTTTTTTTTTTTAAATCAATTATAAAGCAATTACTACAAAAATTTAAAAACTAATCAAATTAGTTTCTTATATTGCTCTATATTTTTGAAATCGGGGGCAAAAAATAGGGCTCAAGAAATTTAGACAAGCCCCTAAAGGGGAATGACCAAACAACTAAGGAAAATAGTATCGGTATAAATATTACTGTGACAAGATGAAAACTATTGTCTAAGATTCGTATGAGTATGTAGTTTAAGAAAAAATAAATAACATATGCGTAATTTGCCGGGTTTCAGAGAAATAGAGGGGGGATTTACATAGTCCCCCGTTGTAAGTTAAAATATGAAACTTATTATTTAGCATGCAATTCATAGGAAGATTAAGATCTAATTAGAATACAAAAGATGTGCACAATACAATTTAAATACTAAGTTACTAAAAGTAACAAGTATCTACTCCATTAGGAGTGAATTAAATACCTACCTAATATTTTGCTATGTTAACTGTATAGATGTATTAACCTACAGACTACAGTTGCATATAATTAGGCACAATTAAATAACTATCCAAGTTGATCAAAACAGAAGCTTTATTTAGAGAAAGAATAAGGAACACAAAAAAAAGAACAGACATGGCCAGCACGATCGGAGTGATACCACTGCCTCACAGAAAACTAAATGTTTGTCATTGCTCTTTACCAAGTGAGTGAGGTAACCGGAGCCCAAACCCCCTGATCCTGTGTGGAAAGATCAACTATTCAAAGTGGCTGCCCTTTGAATAGTTGATGCCTCCCTACTATGCAAATATTCTCTGTACACAGGTTTGTCCTCAAGGGCAGTGCGAAACTTGTTAACAAGAGCACAACCTATTCTGAAATCCTCCTGTTTCAATCTGCCGTTTACTACCTCAACCACCCATCTACACATTGTGACACAACGTGATTTGTTAGCTTGCTCCGTGGTAAGCCGACGGTGGCATTCTAATAAGGATTCAGGTAGATGAGTTTGATAACCATACTCTTGTAATTGAGCCACCACATCTCTAAAGCCTCTGTCAAGAATAAAGAAGTCTCCTTCTCGAAAATATTGTCGCATAGACCTGGTAAATTCTGTGCTCATAATTGTAGCATCATTGGTGGTTGCTTTATATGGCCCCAAGCAATCTAAAATATGACCGTTACAGCATACAATCATAAATGGTTTCACCAGGTTAGTATATTTATGCAAACTGTAAGTTTGCTTTTGGAATAAATAATTGCTACTACTCTGCACATAAACATATGTAGCATCACATATGGTGATTGCTGGTTTGGTCTAGACAGGCATTGTTGGGTTTCCATAAAAACCTTCAGGAATCACCATACTGGTTCTTGCTACTTCTTGAACAGTCATGTGACTGAGACCCAAATAGTGAGGAACTAAATGTAATGTCATAACATCTCGCACTTTATTCATCTGACGTTCAAGTGTACTTCGTGGCATTCTAAAAAGACCACACAACCTCTCATAACTGTCTCCACTTCTTAATTTGGTTAAATAAATGCACAATCCTACACTAGCATCTGGCACTTTGTCATGTAATTGTGGTATATTGTTCAGTAATTTATAAAATTGAATAGCATTCAGACCAATCCAGTAATAACATAAGTTAGGTTGAATCATGTGGACATTACTAAAATTAATTTGCTTTGTTGACAGTCTTTCCAACATAGCCAGTAGGTTATCCATTTGAGCACCAGTGAAATTAGAATAATTTACTTGTAATTCATCCCAGCAATCATTGTGTAAATGAAAGTTACAGATCCGAGCACTTTGAGGAATATAAATTCGATAGACTTCTTCTACTTCTTAAGACTTCTTCTTTCAATGCTCTAGGTATTAACAAACGTTCCATATTGCCACAGTTAGAAAAAACACAATGCCTTGTTGAAACGGCTACACGTTTATAGGTCTGTGATAGTATTTTTGGCCCTTGTTGCCTTCTTTGAGGCTGGTATAGGTTGTGCTGAGGTAATGGTGGTGGATTAGGAATATGTACAGCATTATCTTCCTCATCAGGCACAGGTACATCATTATTATGTACAGGTACTTCCACATCAGGTACAACAACTTCCATAGTAAGTGCAGGTCCATCAGCATTTGGTGCAAGAAATTCAGCACTGGGTACAGGTACTTGAGAGTTCTCAACTACAGGCTCATCTTCAGCATGCATTATATGATTAGCATCATGTTGCAATTGCCGTTGTATGGTTCTTTTCGCTGCCATCCAACATGCTCTGCATACTCTATCCAAACACCGCATCTGGATAAGAAAGATTAATAGTTAGAGATGGTTTTAAGTTACAGTTATGATTATTCTCCTATGAGATATATAATAAAAATTGAACATCTATTATTGAGTAATTTAATTTTTATTTATTTGAAACAAAATGATATACATTAAGTTTTGATTCTACAATTAAATCAAAGATTATAATGTATTTTATTGCAGAGGGTAGGTGTCCTTATGCTTCTTCTTCTTCTTCTTCCTTTAATTCAGTGGCTCCATCGGATGTCGATGATTTTGCCAATGTCTAGGTGGGAGGTAGATTTATTAGTTAATAGGTTGAAAATATTTTGAATACCAAAAGGGAATTGTTGTGATTTTAATAGTTTCTGTTTGTGGTTCTGTGGGACAGTAGAGAAAAAAGAAAAAGGACAGTAGAAAAAAATATAGCAGTAAAGGTATTAGGAAACTTTATAAATTTATTTTATTTATACGAATGAAATGGTAAAGGATCCTGACAAATGGGGTATATACTAGAGTTAATAGATAAGCCAAATTAACGGGTCGGGATATTTGTTGAGGGAGTAGATCATACAGAGGTACGACCAATTTAGGACAAGAAAAGAAAATATGTTCCAGAGTGCCTTCATCGAGACCACACTCACATAGAGAGTGATCACGAACTCGAATTTTGGCAAGAAAAACTGGGGTACTGACAAATCCTAATCGTAAACGAATTATAGTAGAGGTGGCTGACTTATTAACATGTTTTTGTTTGAAGAACCAGGATCTAGCAGGAATTAAGGGTTGTAGAGAGCCGTAAAATTTACCCTTGATCATTCTACTGCTTTGCCATGTGTTATTCCAGGACTCAGTCAATGAAAGTTTGGCTAGGGAGCGCAGATCTCGGGCGAAGCAGAATTTGTGGCTAGCGCATCCAGTCTGAGCTGCTATTTTGGCGCAGGAGTCCGCAGTTTCATTGCCTGCTATACCTGAATGACTGGGGATCCATGCTAGAACTACTTCAATACCAGACAATAGGCACCTGTGAAGAACCTCTTTAATTTTAAGAATTATAGGGAAATTATTGCGAGCTTTGAAAGGATTTTTTAAAAGATCTTGTAGACAGCTCAAGGAGTCTGACAAAATAAGGGACTTATCAAGCTTATGAGATTCCACATAGGAGACCGCTTCTAATAAGGCAATAGATTCTCCTGAAAAGATAGAGTTGTAGGAAGAGCATTTATAACTTAGTATAATTTTGAATTTGGGAATCCAAACTGCAGAACCAACAAAGGCATCTGAAGAAAGTTTTGATGCATCTGTATAAAGCGTAACCCAATCAGACCAATCCTCCGCAATGATGTGGAGAAAGTTTTGGTTGGCTGCCGGAGAATGTTTATTGATGCCAAAGTCAAGGATGATTTTTGGTAGGAAGGTTAACGCATTATAGTCAAGCTCAAAAAGAGGATTTAAAGAAGATTGAAAGATAGGATCAGATAGATTTTTCATTTTAATAAAGGAATTAAGGAGCAAAGGGAGGGACTTGTGTCTCCAGTACAATGAGATAGTGGTCAGACTAGAAAGTTGAGACAGAATTGGAAGAAGGGGATGGGAATTAATTTGGACTGCATTAAAGAAGTATCTGTCAGCTAAGAATTGGCGGCGAAGATGAAGGGGAGGTTCCAAGCATTCGACTTGGAGGGCATTCACTGGAGAGCATTTCATAGCACCAGTTATGATTCGAAGGCACTTAGACTGGATCAGCTGAAGCTTAGACAGAGCACCTCTATTACATGGTTCCAGAAGGAAAGAACCATAATCAAAGTGACTCCGAACTATGGCATTGTACAAAAGTTTTTGGCAAAAGGGGTGAGAGCCCCAGCGAACCCCAGATAAGGCCCGCATAACGTTCACACCCCCCTCGCTCTTTTTAATAACATGGTTTAGATGGTGAATACCAGATAATTTAGAATCAAGAATGAGGCCTAAAAACTTTATGGAATCTTTTATTGGAATTAGTTCGCCTGCTACAGAAAGGTTGATATCAGGGATATTACGTTTGCGAGAGAAAACAAGAGCACTACATTTAGAAACAGACAGAGAAAGATTGTGGTCCAATAGCCAAACGTTTAAATAATACAGAGCGGAATTCAAACGGGAAGTGGCAGTAGAGAAGGAGGATGACGAAAAATATATGGCAACATCATCAGCATATTGAAGAACTTTACAAAAAGAACTGACAGACTGGTCTAGGTCGAAAGTATAAATATTATAAAGAATGGGACTAAGCACTGAACCCTGCGGAAGGCCCTTCCATACAAGACGAGGAGGGAGAAAAGAAACTTGATGACGAATAGAGATAGTACGACACATGAGCATATTGCAGATGACGTGAACCATCCTCGCTGGAATACTCAGATGTAGCATTTTCTGCCTGAGAAGAGGAAGATGTACATTGTCATAGGCTGCAGAGATGTCCA